GAAAATAGGGCAGTGTCATTTTTCAAGCTTGCTAGCTTTGAAATTGAGTTAGATTTGTTTGAAGATCTTGAAATTGTTTCTCTTGATAGGGTCTGGTGATGGCTTTTGATCTTTCAATAATTCTCTCCTTTATATATACTTCACATAGACTTTTCCCCTTTTTCTCCATTGTGTTCAATGTGTCAACTGTACTGCTTGACATTACATCTTTAGTATCAAGTGTCCAAAGTTCCTTTGATGTTGCAATAAATGGGTTTCCTAAATCATTGATAACCTCAGTAAGGGAATTGACATATTTGTTGAAACTGGTTTGATAACTAACACTGTGCTCATGGTTTGCAAGGACTTCATCATCATTATCCTTCATCTCATCCTCAAACTCAGTTAACATTCTTGCGATCTCTGGACCACCGACCATCCACTTCTGTAATGCGATTGAATTGGCGAACAACCCCACAGCTCCACCCTCACTTTTGATCACACTATTGTTTTGCTTATGGGCTTGGTCTATTGACATGGAGGAGAAGGTTCTTCTTGACTTGCTGACAGTGAAATGCCCCTTCATGAAAGCATTGTGAACTTCAGGGTGGATTTCTTTGAGCTGATCCATATCACTTACATGGACAGGTGATAGTTTCTTTGTAGAGCTAGAAGTCACCAAGTCTCACAGCTCTAGTTATTATCTGTTAGACACAGAACTTGTAATACTCCTATTCGAGATAAGAGTTCAGGTGGTAATTTACATAAATATCTCCCATGATGCATTGCTTTAGAAGGGACAAATTTGCATTGGCCCGCCGAACAAGTCGATTACTCTGAACGTTTCTCAGCTTCTGATCCTCCATCAGCCCTCAAGCATAGTTATATGATCCAATCTATTCAATAATCTGAAGGATAATCGGAGATTCAAAGTAACATTATTTATATTTTTTCGATCTTCGATGGCGTCTGAGCAATTTCTGGGATATCAGTGACGTCACTGGAATTGGACGGCATTTTCAACTACAGATTTCTTCGGATTTGGGGATTATAGTTCAAAAAGCTTTGTCATATATCTTAATTACATGCATACCTATCGTTTGTGCAAATGAAACTCTGCATAAATGTTAAATAGAGTCGCAGTGCGGCATTGAAAATAGCACCCCTGTGTAATCCAATGGGAAAGAACCCGGATGTAGACGAAGTTGTACCATACATGAGAGCTCTTCAAACGGGAGGTAGCTAAACTGAACTAAATTAAACGTTATCGCGTATTGGTATATTGGAGTACCATGTACCAGAATTTGAATATAGGTGACCCTGTTTCTTCACTCTGCTATCTGGTATCTATCCAAGATTCAAAATCAAGAGGCAAAATTGTATTGATTGGTAATCTACTTGAAATCTACCCAGGTAACAAGACCCCCTCCCAATACACATAACACTCCTTCTTAATTTAAAACTGCCCTTATTAGAGCAACAATATCATATTTTAAAACATAACAGTTCATCAAAATAAGCAGAACTACTTCTTGATTATTTTTATTAATCATGTAGGTCAAAATCATACTTACAAAAACTGATCTAGATCCTATCATAAACGTTGATGCTCATTGTCACTCAAGCATGACCTTGTCAAAAACAAGAAGTGATTTTGGTAGTTGTTTAAGAAAGATACACTTTTTGTTAGATTATTCTGTATTTGCATTCAAGTCACTCATCAGATGTCACATAGTTTGTCAAACTTTATTTTCAATTAAAATTACATTATTTATGATGTCGAAGTATATGCCACTCTGGAGATAAAAGGAATTAATTAAAGATAAGTAAATATTCATTTTGCTAAAAAATGACTGCAATCTCACTCATTATCATGTATATCATGGTAAAAGGTCCCAACATTGAAATTATGATACTATTTAATGATAATCCTAAAAAGTTATGGATGGTCATTAAGCCTACCCCTATAAATTTTAGGGGTAGGGGTAAAAATTGCGAAAAGTAGATAAAAAATGGAGGAAATTTTCGGCACAGTTGCTTTTTACACCCAGGAAGGTTGTCTGGTCATATATGGAAAGTTCCACGATTTGTTCCGTTTTCGGCGCTTTCGCCCTTTTTTATGTCACTATTTATCTCGCTATTCTGATTGGTTCATAATTTACGGCGCTAAAAATAAACTCGACGGGCGTGAAGATGTGTAAATAACCGTCTTAACGCCCGTTAATCATTTTAACGCCTTCAGTTTACGCCCGTAAATGTTGTTTGAACGCCCGTAGAACATACTTCTTCACGGGCGTAATTTACGCCTACCATGGGCTTTCAACTGGAAAAAGCCCATGCGCCTACACAGGCGTAATCTCACGTCTGCACGGGCGTAATTTTACATCTGCACGAGCGTAATTAACGCCTACACACCCGTAAACAACACGTGCATACTTTGGGCGGGTAAGTCAACCATAAATATTGGCGGTAGTACTATTAATTTACTTTGAATGCGATAAAGAACATGAAAATGGGTGATGGTACAGTGTGCTGAAACAAACTTGTCTCTAAAACTAAATTATCTGGTGATGGTAATTTAAGATCATTAAATCGTCTGGCAGATGAGTAAATTTCAAGACAATTACAATTAAAGATTCATTCCATGTTTTTCTTGATACAATTCTTTGGGACACCCTATAGATTAAATATAGTAAGATTCGATGATCTGTAAAATGAAAACAAAATAATGGGGTATCTTGTTATAACAATATAATAGTGAACAATATATTTCAAAATATAAAACTAGATTACACACAAATAACTATGAACTGTTTCATTGTTATATATAAGGTACTATTGCTCTGATATAGTGCTATTATAGAATATTGATAGAGAACTCAACTGTTTCATTGTTATGTATATGGTACTATTGCTCTGATATACTAGTAGTGCTATTATAGAATATTTATATATGGTACCATTGCTCTGATATAGTGCTATTATAGAATATTGATAGAGAACTCAAATTTTTGCAATTTCATAGTACTGCTATATTTCTATAACATTGCTAAAGTATTGCTAGATTGCTATAATAGGCCTACTGCTATATTCCTATAGTACTGCTATATTGCTATAGTTCTGTCATATAACTATTACAGTAGACTGCTATAGCACAGCTTTTTGCTATAATATTGCATTAGTAGGCTACTGCTACATTGCTAATACTGCAATATTTCATAGTACTGTTTTACTGTGTTATTGCATAAATACTGCATTTTATAGTACTGCTAAATTGCCATAATACTGTTATATTACTATAGTACTGATATATTGTTATTATAATGTTACAATGGTACTGCTTTATTGCTATGGTACTGAGCTGCTAAAGTATAATGCTATTTTCTACCAAGTTAACATTCTATTTGGATAATTATCACATCTTAAACACCCTATGCAGACAGAGCCTGTGGGAAATATTGGGTGCGGAGCAAATGAGCGGAGGGTGCGGAGCTAACGGTCATTTTTGAATGTAAATTTGGGATATTTCTGAAACTAAGCCGTTTTGGGACTTCAAATATACCAAGATATGTGTATTTGACACCAAATATCAATACAATTGTGAAAATAGTAGCGCAATTCATTCTATAGCGACGCAGTGTGCCTTAAACCTTTCCCAGACCTATATATTTTGAAATTATCCTTTTAATACTGAGTCCCCAGCATTCACAAAAAATGGTGTTCAAGGTACACTATCTATACAAATTATTTTTGCATCTTGGAATATATCTAAATATTGGGTGCGGAGTAGCTCCATAAATGTAGCTCCGCACCCAATATTTAGACAGGGCTCATATCTGAAGAACATTTCCGAATTTTTATAAAATCACACAGATACTTCCTGGCTTCCAAGATGCCAAAATAATTTGCATGGGTAGTGTATCTTGAACACCATTTTTTATGAATGCTGGGGACGCAGTATTAAAAGGATAGTCTCAAAATATATAGGTCTGGGAAATGTTTAAGGCATACTGCGTCGCTATTAAATGAATTGCACTACTATTTTCACAATTTTATTGGTATTTGGTGTCAAATACACATATCTTGGTATATTTGAAGTCCCAAAACGGCTTAGTTTCAGAAATATCCCAAATTTAAATTCAAAAATGACCGTTAGCTCCGCACCCTCCGCTCATTTGCTCCACACCCAATATTTCCCACAGGCTCTGTCTGCATAGGGTGTTAAAACTATATTCATGTTCCAGGGCATCAATATGTCTGGTGGCCAGAAGCAGAGAATCAGTGTGGCCAGGGCCATGTATTCCAAAGCTGATGTTGTTGTTCTTGTGAGTATAGAAGTTTGTTATGATGTAATGTAAACTTCAAATCTAGAAATCCTCAAGATCTCATAACTAACCATTTGTCACTGCACCAAACAATGCAAAATCTTTTGTAACTGGTGTAGAATCAAATGAAAAGTATTTCTGTTTTCTTGAATAAAAACTAATCTTATTCAGTGATAGTGGCATACGTATTTCTTGTTTGAGTTAGAATCCCTGCAATTATTGGTAATATGATTACTTCATATGCCACATTCTTGTTGAATCATAATTTTCTGCAATTTGCTTACATTATTGATTCGTATATAATAGTTTGGAAACTAAAAGTTAACATTATTGACTATTTAAATGTTGTGGAACTAAAGTTTTTCAAGACATTGACATTGTACTATATCTAGGCCTTGACATTCCAAAACAGTAGAAAAATGATATAAAGGACGAGTGTCTTTAAGACCCTATATTAGCCCCGAAGATATTTAGAAAGAATTTTACAGGATATCAAAGAAATATTGAATAGTGATATTTCTTTATACTTCATTGAGATCAATTGTCTTCAAAAAAGTCTGCAAAACTATGTCAGAAAAGAATATTGATTTTTTAAAATTTACATCACAATGAGAAAGAACAAGGGGCAACAATAAAAAACACATGAAGTAATTAACAAGTCAAAAATGCATATCAATCAATTATATATTGATCTGCTTCCTTGAGATCAATTGCTCATATACAGTTTGTGGCAGTAAAATACTGAATTTATTATTTCACATCACAGTGAGGAAACACAAAGAGCAACATTTGAAAACTGAAATGATTGAAATGCTATTTACAGTGTATACACCCCTTAACACCTAAGTAACAAAGCTATTAAAAAATGATAGAACTCCGAATAGATTTACCCATATCATGTACCTATTCATTTAGCGATTTATTTGTAAACCCAAGTGAAAAATAGATCTTACAGATTTGATTAATTTTCTAGAAGAAATCTGTTGCTCTCCCATCCGTTCATTTTTCCGAAACAGGGTGTGAAAGTATAACCAGAGATGCTACATGTTAAAAAGTAAATGCTTTTCATGATTCATGGAATGACACACTCCCATAGATCATTTTCATATTACTTTGTAAATTACAAATAACATGGTGAACAAAAAGTTTAACACAAGTTTGAAGTTTAAGAAAAGTCTGTCATGACAGTTCTGCCATTCCAGAAGATTTTCACTTAAACCAATAGTTCTGCTTTATCAGAATTTTTGAATATTTACTGTGCATGTTCTGAATTTCTTCTTAGTTCTGACCATGGGCTTTCAACTCTAATATTGAAAGCCCATGGTTCTGACTGATTTTCAGATTCCTTCCTAATAATAATAATAATCATCATCTGAATCGTCATCTGATGATGATTCATGGTGACCCAATGCATTTTGGTGCTGCCATAGAGCCTTAGGGGTGAAGAATGACCGGTCACAATTGTTCATGGGGCAAGAATAGGTGTCGCGATCATCATACTCATCAATATCAGAGTCATCCACATGATGGCCTTTAGCGTCTTGATGTTGTTCGAGACATCGCATGGAAGTAAACACACGCTGGCAATAATGAACTGGGCACTGATATTCTTCGTCTCTGTCATGGCCTGTGTCACTCAGATGCTGATATAATGCCTTCAGGCTGGAGAACTCACGATAGCAGCGGTTACAATCATACCTTGGGGGTGGAGGAGGGGGTGGGGGTGGAGGGGTAGGGGTTCTAGTGCGTATACCCACAGATTCTCCACCAGTTTGGGTTGTAAACTTCTGGTTCCAAATGTGTGGTGGAATATCATGTAAATCCAATACCTTCACCTGTAAATGCAAATACAGGGTGTAATTTGTTTCAATGAAAACTGTAAAAATGGCAGTGGTTTAATTTTGATGTAACTTCCATATGCATTGTACTTTTAACATGAAATAGGATAGAAAAAATGTTCTGCCATGTGTTGAATATACTAGATGCAAGTAGGAATAATCTTGATTTACATCATTAAATATTCAAAATTCAGTCAAAGTGATGTCATATTTTAAATCTACATTGTAAAAGTACATCTAGAAATTTGGTTTCGAAAATTGTTTATCAACTTTGAAAATTAAATTTTTTTTGAAAATGTGACTTCTAGTTCGGGTTGATTCTCCATAGTCCCCATGTTACAAAGTCACAAAAATTGGAATATCTTTTCTTGTATTGGACAGATAAAGTTATTGAACAATTAAACTAATGTGATTTATTTTCTCATTGGTTGACTCAAAATGTTGAAGAGGATTATATATATATTCAAATGAACACAAAGAAATTAAAATGTAATTATGCACTTCAATGGAAACAGGATATTCTTACTTTTCCTGTACTTAAAACTTAATATATACAAGGCATTAACATGACAAAATGTCACCACCTAGTTGCTCACAATATTATGAGTTCAAACTTAATATAAGTCAGATTTGAATTTCTGAGAACTTGTAAAGTCAAATTTGAACTTCTGAAAAGATGTAGATGATTTTGAAAAAAAAATTTGGTCAATTTGAAGCAAGTTGAAAACAGACCTTTTTGACCTTTTTTTGACCTTGAGAAGGTCATTAAAGGTCAAATGTCAAATCTAAAGTCAGATTTGAATTTCTGAGAACATGTAGATGATTTTGAAAAAACAAATTAGTCAATTTGAAGCAAGTTGAAAAAAGACCTTTTTGACCTTTTTTGACCTTGAGAAGGTCAAATGTCAAATCTAAAGTCAAATCTAAAGTCATATTTGAATTTCTGAGAACATGTAGAATGTAGATGATTTTGAAAAAAAATTTAGTCAATTTGAAGCAAGATGAAAAAATACCTTTTTGACCTTTTTTGACATTGAGAAGGTCATTGAAGGTCAAATCACGCGGTAGTATCTCTTCGGGACGTATCGAAACCATTCCGTCCCGAAAAAACCGTTAATTTGAATTTAAAACCTACCCCAGTGTTTGAAAATCAAGGATTGTGAGTCTCACACTTCACCATTTTTCTTCAAACTTGTTCCGTACAAAGCTTCACAGAAATACCTTTCAGTCGATACATTGTTTTCGTGTACAAAGTACCTCGTTTTAGCGGCGGTTTGGTCCCCAGCTGCGAGATAAAGCAAATTTTCATAACTTTCAACTGTAAGTCAAGTTATCTCGCCAGTCTTTTACCCATTCTCGCTCATAATTTCAGAATGGACTCCCATTAAAACATTCCATCGCTACGTTTTGATTTTTGGGCATCAATTGCAGCAGTTTCTAAATCATCCACACATCTCTTAAAATTTGACTAATACGTCCCGTCACCTTCCACTACGCCCCACCGAGTCTATGACTACAAACGTGGAGTTGTATTCTAAAACATTTTGTTCATCGTTGTGTAATTTTACATAGGTTTGCCTTGGTCGATTCTTAACACCAGTCTTAAGTTTAGCATACATATGGAGTATAACTATAACTGATTGCATGAAATTGATAATTTAAATGTTTGTGAAGATGTTGCTTTTTAACTTTAATTATATGTAATTGTCCTGTATTTGATTTTGTGAGGAAACCAAGAATGCATCATCATACAACAGTAATTGGTATATAAACAACATCTACTGACTTGGTCTGATAATGTAATATAAAGATTTTAACTGTTGTGTGTCAACCATTCTTCTGTATGATTCCATTGGATTACATTATGAAACGTGTACCATATAAAATGATACATGTTTCTAACGTTATGCTGAAAATAATATAATTGACATCACCCATCCTTTCGCATTTTAACATTTTTTCAAGGATAGGGCACTTTAAACGTTTCTTAAAAATATTTTCAATTGTTCAGTAATTAAAATCTTTATATTGCAATATCGGGAAATCTAAATTTTAGGGAGATTTTGGACCACCCTATTATAGGTATATTGAAAATGGACAAGGATGGGTAAATCTTAAAACACAATCCGATTGGTATTTAGAATCGACAATGGCAACCTACAAACGGACACATTGATGGACAAATTGTTTTAGAATGCAACTCTACGTGTATAGTGATAGACTCGGCGGGGCGTAGTGGAGGATGACGGGACGTATTGGTCAAATTTGAAGAGATGTGTGGATGATTTAGAAACTGCTGCGTTTGATGCCCAAAAATCAAGACGTAGCGATGGAAGGTTGTAATGGGAGTCCATTCTGAAATTATGGGCGAGAATGGGTAAAAGACTGGCGAGATAACTTGACTTACAGTTGAAAGTTATGACAATTTGCTTTATCTCACAGCTGGGGACCAAAACGCCGCTAAAACGAGGTACTTTGTACACGAAAACAATGTATCGACTGAAAGGTATTTCTGTGAAGCTTTGTACGGAACAAGTTTGAAGAAAAACGGTGAAGTGTGAGACTCACAATCCTTGATTTTCAAACACTGGGGTAGGTTTTAAATTCAAATTAATGGTTTTTCGGGACGGAGTGGTTTCGATACGTCCCGAAGAGATACTACCGCGTGCAAATGTCAAATCTAAAGTCAGATTTGAATTTCTGAGAACATGTAGATGATTTTGAAAAAATTTTTTAGTCAATTTGAAGCAAGTTGAAAACAGACCTTTTTTGACCTTGAGAAGGTCAAATGTCAAATCTAAAGTCAGATTTGAATTTCTGAGAACATGTAGATGATTTTGAAAAAAATTTTTAGTCAATTTGAAGCAAGTTGAAAAAAAACCTTTTTGACCTTTTTTGACTTTGAGAAGGTCATTGAAGGTCAAATGTCAAATCTTAAGTCAAATCTAAAGTCAGATTTGAATTTCTGAGAACACGAAGATGATTTTGAAAAATTTTTTTAGTCAATTTGAAGCAAGTTGAAAACAGACCTTTTTGACCTTGAGAAGGTCATTGAAGGTCAAATGTCAAATCTTAAGTCAAATCTTAAGTCAGATTTGAATTTCTGAGAACACATAGATGATTTTGAAAAAAAAATTTAGTCAATTTGAAGCAAGTTGAAAACAGACCTTTTTTGACCTTGAGAAGGTCATTGAAGGTCAAATGTCAAATCTAAAGTCAGATTTGAATTTCTGAGAACATGTAGATGATTTTGAAAAAAAATTTAGTCAATTTGAAGCAAGTTGAAAAAAGACCTTTTTGACCTTTTTTGACTTTGAGAAGGTCATTGAAGGTCAAATGTCAAATCTTAAGTCAAATCTAAAGTCAGATTTGAATTTCTGAGAACACGTAGATGATTTTGAAAATTTTTTTAGTCAATTTGAAGCAAGTTGAAAACAGACCTTTTTGACCTTTTTTGACCTTGAGAAGGTCAAATGTCAAATCTTAAGTCAAATCTTAAGTCAGATTTGAATTTCTGAGAACACGTAGATGATTTTGAAAAAAAAATTTAGTCAATTTGAAGCAAGTTGAAAACAGACCTTTTTGACCTTTTTTGACCTTGAGAAGGTCATTGAAGGTCAAATGTCAAATCTAAAGTCAGATTTGAAGGTCAAATGTCAAATCTAAAGTCAGATTTGAATTTCTGAGAACACGTAGATGATTTTGAAAAAAAAATTTAGTCAATTTGAAGCAAGTTGAAAACAGACCTTTTTGACCTTTTTTGACCTTGAGAAGGTCATTGAAGGTCAAATGTCAAATCTAAAGTCAGATTTGAAGGTCAAATGTCAAATCTAAAGTCAGATTTGAATTTCTGAGAACATGTAGATGATTTTGAAAAAAAATTTAGTCAATGTGAAGCAAGTTGAAAAAAGACCTTTTTGACCTTGAGAAGGTCATTGAAGGTCAAATGTCAAATCTAAAGTCAGATTTGAACTTCTGAGAACATGTAGATGATTTATAAAAAAATTGAAGTCAGTCTAAACAGTATTTGTTAAGTTATAGGAAGTTGTAAGAAATTGTTACAGACGCCGGACGCCAACCGCCGGACGCCAACCGCCAACCACCAACCGCCGGACGCCAACCGCCGTCGCAAAAAAAAACGGAGACCATAACAATATGTCACCACTTTTGGTGGTGACATAAAAATTCAAAAATACTTTCACCAATATGGCATTATTTTTGCTTCTTTATTCATTAAATTCAAATATATTCGATATATGAAATATTTATATTCGCTAAATCATTTTCCATTCGGTAAAAACGTTTATTTGTTTGTTAAAGCAAATTAAGTTTTCAAAATAGCCAATCACTTAATACTATGTGCATTAAATTACATATTTCATTCGTTAAATGATATTTTTTGCGTAAATTGTTATGGTATTCCTTAAGAGTAACACATTATATGCACAATATTGAATTTCTATTTGAACCCTACCGAAATAAGTTTGCCTATATTTACCAAATGGTTTATTTTTCTATGACATAGTTAATGCATTTTACCGAAAGCTAATTTGCTATTTACCGAATGCAATAAAGCAATATTCGATAACTTGCTTTGTTGTTCGATATTTTGTCACGTGACTTCGAGATTTGAAAAATGGCCGCAGCTATTCTACATCGTACAAATATATCACGTGACTGAAAGTCTCGTAAATTATCGAAAAAATGAAATTTATCGAATGTGGCATTCGGTATTTACCGAATGTGGCATTCGGTATTTACCGAATATAAATTCGGTATTTACCGAATATAAATTCGGTATTTACCGAATATAAATAATTTAAATACCGAATGTACAAATAATTAATTGGAATATACGTGCGTTAAGGAAAACAAATTGATTCACTGCATCACACAAATACATGTATAAATATCAAATGTGAATGTCAATACAAAGAACAAGTGAAACTATTTAGCGAATATAAATTGTATAGATTATTACATTTGATAAAATAAAAAATATTCGATAGATTGGGTAAACGTTTGGTAAATTGTTTGTTTTATTTGGTATTTATGGAATATTAATGTACCGAATAAAGAAGCAGTTTAAACACCATACACCAAAGAATCATATTTAAACATTCAAAATAAAAAGTATTGCATTAACATGGTTTAAGAGAAATGTGTGTTCAAAAAGTTCTCCATATCGATACCACTCCTTTGTATATTACTCTTTTAAAAATTTGGAAAATGATTAATATTATGTAAACATTTTTAAAAACACATGTATTATGGATACACCACACTGATATTCTGCTATCATACCCTGACATGTGAAACTGATGTAAATTAGTTTTGTAATATGTAGTTGTAGTTTGTAGTTGTTTGTACACTGTAGTGACTGATATGTCATTTACATGACATGGTTATTGAGTCAATAAAAAAGATATATAACATTTTCTTTTACTGGACATATTTTAATTTGCATACTGTAGATACGCTTAATTTGGCTCCCGTTTGAATTTGACAGATTGGCAGATTCAAAAAATCCGCCAAATTAAAATATGTCAAAGGACGATTCTCGGTTTGGAGAACGAAGTTCATCAATCTAAATGAGCATTATCCCTGCTTCAGACAAATTTGATTTTTTTCACACAATATAGATTTGAATGTCTTTCTTGAATAGTCATAATTTAATTTGGGTAATATTTCTAGATTTTTCGCAAAAATATATCAGCGCAGTACACTGATTAACTTCTTTCCCCAAATCGAGACTTGTATTTTATTGAATTGGTCTAATTGAGCGTTACCCCTGCTTCAGACCAATTTGTTATTTTTACATCTTGTAGATTTAAATGTCCTCTTTTGAATATTCATAGCTTAATTTTGGTAATATTTCTATATTTTTCATGAAAAAGCCCAGAAGACTGTTCTCCAAACCGAGAATCGTCCTTTCAGTTTTGAATTTTTGTCCAATGCACTTCAAAAATTAAACTCCAGGGCCCCCTTTTCCTGTCACCATGTCATCAATTCTACATTATTCCACAAGATATACAGAAAATATCTTAGTAAACACCTGTCCTACAAAAATTAAACTTCAGTCCTGAATCCGCCAAATTAAATAGCCACCAATATTTGAAATTGAGCAAATCCGTCAAATTAAGTAGCGTCAAAATAAGTGTATCTACAGTTACTATGAGATACATAAGGGTTTTATAAAAACTGAACCACTGAAACAGATGTAATTTAAGTTAAAGGGAACTTTCTACTATACCCGACATGCTATCTGACCCGAACCAGCCACCTGGTGGTGAAACAGGTAACTACCCACTCGCATCTGCGTTATTCTACTTTTTAAGTTTTAAATTTCCGAGAAAGTGAGATGATTTTGAAAAAACAAATTGGTCAATTTGAAGAAAGTTGAAAAATACCTTTTTAACCCTGAGAAAGTCATTGAAGGTGAAATTTCAAATCTAAAGTCAGATTTGAACTTTTGAGAACTTGTGAATGATTTTGAAAAAAAAATTGGTCAATATCACAGGCTGGTATCAAAAGGTTTGTCCACTGTGACGAAGCATGTTATTTTTCATGAAAATACTAAGAAAACCACAGAATTTATTTTTAACTCATATGTTTTGCTATACCAAAGAGAATTACTTACTCCATGCAATGGATATATCATTTGCGGGTAATTTTAATTTCTGTTTGAAGTTCCATAATGCTAGGAGGAAAAGCTATTGAAAATGGAACCGGGGAACCATACTCCTAAAATGTACCATTTCTTTTTTAACTTTTTAATGGCAAGATACAATACATACAATACATCCAGATCTCATTAATACATTCAGAGTTATGCTGAAGACATATGTAAATATTATTGTGTCACTATATCATGCCATTAAAAAGTTAAAAAAGAAATGGTGCATTTTAAAATTTGATACTCTGGCGCAGTTTTCAATAGCTTTCAATGCCAATACTCCGTTATTGGACTTCAAATAGAAGAGACGGTTACACGCAAATGATATATCCATTGTATGGAGTAAGTAATTTTCTTTGATATAACGAAACATGTGAGTTAAAAAATGTTCTGTTAGTGGACAAATCTTTCAATACCAGCCTGAATGTGAAGCAAGTTGAAAAAAGACCTTTTACACCTTGAGAAGGTCATTGAAAGTCAAGGTCAAATCTTTTTTGACCTCCGGAATATCATTGAAGGTCAAATCTATAGTCAGATTTGAACTTTTCAGAACTGGTCAATTTGAAGCAAATTGTGTAATTACCTTTTTAACCTTTTATACCTTGAAAAGGTCATTGAAGTTCAAATCCTCAATCTAAAGTCAGATTTGAACTTGTGATAACTTGATAATTTTGAAAAAAATTGATCAATTTGAAGCAAGTTGAAAAAATACCTTTTTGACCTTGAAAAGGTCATTAAAGGTCAAATCTTAAATATAAAGTCAGATTTGAACTTCAGAAAACTTCAAAGATGACATACGCTTATAATGTAAATCTGTATTGAGATGACATTGTCGCTGATTGGTTTAGCGAGTTGATCATTGATTGGTTTAAAACTAGGTCAATTTGAAAACTTTGAAAACCAAGATGGAGGGTACGTTTTCGACAAAAGGAGGTGCGCGAAGGAGGAAATTGTATGTCATCAATTGGATCATGGGGTTTTCCCTCCTCTTATAACAATATGTCACCACTCTGTGGTCCCAATTGTTAAAAATCCATTTTCCAATATGAGATTAGATAAGGTGAATATTGAATTGTGTAAATTACCAGCAATACTTACTCTTACTTCCCCAATACAGCCTGCTGCTTCCAGCTTTCTACAGAGGTACAAGCGTCGGTTATTCATGCTCCACCAACGCCCATCCATCCAAGTAACTTGCATAACAGGAAAATCATCCAATGACTTGTAGCCATATTTGATTTCTCTGTATGTCTCATGTATATCATCATCATTACTGAAACATCCAGCGATTGTGTCCTGCATGTAGAAAATATCTGATGGCCTCATCCAGGAAAAATTGCTTTGGGAATACCCATATGCCATTGCAGTGATCTTTGAAGGCTTTGATAATGGTTATTTGCGGCATAGACCTGTAATCAAATATTGGATAGAATAAAATTACTTTGACTCTTTAAAGTGGCCAGCAAACTATGTAAAAAACACGGTATTTTATGTAATGTTGACTGATTGAGAACAATTTAATTTGAAAATTATTTAGAAATATTTTATGTAACTGTTTTTGTTAACATTTTTTGTTTTTTAGTGCAATTGTTTTTGCTCCCTTCTACCAATTCTTGAGAATGAAATAAAATATCTTTCCGAACCTTGTTGGAACTAAAATAGCATATAACATGTTTTTAGACCTCTCAATATTATATAGTAATACAAAGGGATTTTTGGTTGATTTTAAAAAGTATTCAAAAATTAAAACAAAATCTCCCCAAAATAGATAAAAATCAAGATAAACCTTTTATTTCATTAACAAGATACTTTTTTAAAATCAACCAAAATTTCCCTTGCACAATTACAATATTGAGAGACCTAAACATGTTGTGTTTATGTCATTTTGTTCCAATGAGGTTCTGAAAGATGTTTCATTTCACTCTGGAAACGTGATACCAAGAACAATACACGTGTTTGATGTGTTTTCTAAAACAAAATATTGTTACCATTCAAAAGATGACCATTAAATTGATGATGTGTTAAATTTTTAGATTTTTTTATGACTGGTTTAAGAGGAACGTGTGTTCAAAAAGTTCTCCATATCGATACCACTCCTTTTAAGACTACAAAAAATGTATGGTACCAACAGAAATCTTAGACCTTCCTCTACACCATGTGAAAATATGAAAAGATTTCTGCAGGTAATAAGGGAAATATAGCCTATTGCAAAAGTTCACCTTTTTGGACCAACCTGTACATTATAAGTCTCAGTGGCAGAAAGATATTTTCAAATATCCTGTTTTATGAACTTACATAACATTCAAAAATGTCTTTGAAAGAGAGGGTTGTTTAAATATACAAAAAAAAATCACAGACAAGCAATTAGTAGATTTAGGCTTAGTTCACACAAATTACATATAGAAATTGGTTGTCATTTGAAGCCTGAGCCAAGACCTTTGGATGAACGTTTATGTAATGTGTGTGGTATTTTAGAAGATGAACAACACTTTATCATGATATGTAAGAAAAATACAACAGAAAGAAAACTTCGGTTTGACAGGGTGTTTCATTTTTCAAGAATGTTCTCAGATCATAACGGCCCTTTAACATGAGGTTACAAATGGTGCCAGTAGTTCACTGATTTTTTTCTCAACAAAATTGGATAATGTTAAAACTGGTCCGTCAGCCATTCTTTCCGTCCCATTGGATTACATTGAAGGCGACGCCCACTTTTCAATGGAAAACATTATTTCGCACTTCTTTGCTTATCATTTGCAGGAAATGATTGGAAAATGTTTTCCTATTATATGCATTTGAATATACATCAAAACACTTTCAATTGATGCAAACTAGATTGTTCTAGCACTTTTTGTCGCTGAGATACTGCCAGTCCACTAACCTGTAGTCTACTGGGGGAGGGGGTCAAAAATAAAAATTGATTTCGGCCACTTTTATTCTTAAAAGATGTTTTAATAGATTTGCAAGGGGAAATTTTGTTATTTTATGATAAATATTTTCTAAAATATTCAAATTGTTGACAGAAAAGAAAAACAGTCGTGAATTTAACTGCCCAATATATGCATTTTTTATTTGTTTGACCCCTGGACCAGTAGATCTGCAATATGTGCTAGAACAGTCTAGTTTACATCAATTGAATTGATGAATTCTCAAATGCATATATCAGAAAAATAGGTTCTAACCATTTCCGGTAAATGAGCAGCAAAGAAGTGCGAAACATTGTTTCCATTGAAAAGTGGGCGTTGCCCACAATGTAATCCAATGGGATGGAAAGAATGGCCGACGGACCAGTTTTAACGTTATCCGATTTTGTTGAAAAAAAATCAGTGAACTACCAGCACCATTTGTAACCCCGTGTTAAAGGGCCGTTGTAATCCGAGAACATTCTTGAAAAATGAAACACCCTACTGTCACCATTACACAATTTAATTTTGTAGGAAGTCCTGACTTTATTTTCAAAAAGCTTTTGTCTCATAAAAATTCATTTATCATTCATTCAAAAAACTGGATTAATATTGTGACAATGATACATCACACTGATGTTTTAAACTCTGTCATGTTGTATTTGCATTTTACAACTATCTCATATTTTTGTATGTTACATTTTATGATGCTGTAATTGTATTTTACAACTTTGTATATTTCCTATGAAGTAGTTAGTTTTGTCTTAGTTTAATTTTGTATATTGTAGTTTGTAGTGACTAATATGTCATTACAATGACATCAGAGAGTCAATAAAAGATATATATCAGGCCCGTAGCCAGGATTTGCCAAGGGGGGGTTCAGTTTTCAAAAATTTCCAGGGGGGGGGTTCACATTTGACAATTTTGGCCCAAATATGGCTAAAATCACTTGAAAAGTGCTCAAAATGGTGAAAAACTGCATGATTTTGAAAGAATTTTTGGTCAGGTGGGGGGGGGGGGGGGTTCGTCCCAACCCTGCGAACCCCCCTGGCTACGGGTCTGTATATACATGGAATTCATATATCTTCTAAACAAATCCCAACATGCCAGTACCATATTAGTTCATTGATACAGTAATACCTATTGATAATTCTCTAATATTGACACCGAAATATCGAAGAATCCACGATCTATGAAATGTAAAATCAATTAAGCAAGAATCAATTTTACATATGTGCTCAGTCGTTTTTCATATTGAGACCCTAGAGAGAAGGATAAGGGGATGGGGGGGAGTATAGGGTCTTTAAAAAAAGACTACTTCCGGAACTTACAAAGAAATACAGTTATACACTCAATTTCTCTTCTCTCGTATTAATTGTGCTTGCTTCATGGTTGACAAAAAGATCGGCAGAGCCCTAGTATGTCTTCAAAGTTTATAGGAGAAGTCTTTCAAGACCTTTTAAATAAAGATGGCATGGCAATCGATCTGTGTTTATTTATAAATAATCTCTTGGAGAAAAAGATAATACTGGATTCTGTTGGTGCTGCCATCTTTATATCGGCCCGGAACCTATGTTGAAGACATACGAGGGCTCTGCCCGATCTTCCATACAAACCCCTGTAGTATAGTAGGAACAAGGGGTTCCCATGCACCCATAAGGTGTGAATAAGTTACATACATTTTTGTAATCCCTAGGGTGTCTATTTAATGAATTCATTTGTTAACATTGCCAACTAATGTCCCATAGTACTTTTATGGCGGCATTCAGTTACCATGGTTACGCATCTTTAGACATCTTACCTTGGTATCTTAAATCATTTGTAGCTCTGTCATTATTTGGTCTATAGAAATGATATTGGTACCAAATTGAACCTTGTTAAATTTCCAATAAATTTATGATATTCAATAATGCAAATTATGTAATTTGCATAAATTATGACGTCATCAATCTATTTTTGGTTCAGAATTTCCAACTATAGCAACGTATCTATTAGAACTGAGGGCGTATGGCAAAATTTCTGAAAGGTTTTGTCAATTATTCTATTAGTACAAGGTATAAGCAACATAAAAGTGGAAACAGATTCAAAATTGAATCAGTGTTACGAAAGTTATGTAACTTTCGAGGCAGCTATCGTGAATGTCATTATTGGACAATAATATACATACGTCTTACCTTGGAGTCTTGAATCAATGTTGCTTCGCCATTATTTGGTCTATAGAGATGATATTGGTATCTGATTAAACCTTATTAAATTTACTATATGATTACAATATTCAGTTATGCAAATTAGCTAATTTGCATTAATTGTGACATCATCAATCCATTTTTGGTTCAGAATATCCTAGTATAGCAACATATCTATTAGAACTGAGGCCATATGACAGAATGTGCATAGTTTTGTCCCTTATTTGATGAGTGGAAGATATAAGCAACATTAAAGAGACAAAAAATCTTCAAAATTAGATCAGAATTAACAAAATTATCCAGTTTTGGAGGCAGCTACTGTGAACGTGATTGTTTGACAATTATAAAAAGAATATTAAATTAACAAAAAAAGTAACAACCATAGTTGTTTCAATCTTATTGAGTAAAAATGTGCATGTAGTGAACTGAACTAATACATATGTGGAAAGGTTACATGTATTTTGACTATCATTCACAGGGGTCAAAACGGTTATCTCGACCCTGTATATTAAAGATCCAATTTTATAATTTACCATGCACTTTCAATGATTCATATAAATAGTATACATATAGTCTGATTTTCATCATATTTATCATACTCTTCATATTCTTGATTCTTAAAGCATCTGAAGTATAAAGCATGATTAGAAGTGAAGATGATTCATCATATGGTTTATGTAATATTTCCAACATTTCAGATGCTATGGTAACATCACTTGATAATGAGGTTTTTACATTTCACGTTCTTAATGAGTTAAAAGAAAGTTATTCTCCCTTTGCTTTAGAGATAAATAGTCACATGAATTTGTTCAAAAAAATTATAACTTAATTTAACCCCCTCCTGACAGCCCCCATATTTGAAGATTTTGGTGAAACCTGGCAAAATACATTAATTATTATGTTCCAGAAGCCCCCAGAAGCTATATGATGGCCCCCAGTAGCCCCAAGAATCTATACAGGGGCCCCATGTGGCCCCCAGAAGGTATACGATGGCCCCCAGAAGCTATACAAGGGGCCACAGAAACTATACTGTGGCCCTCAGAAGCTATATGATGGCCCCCAGAAGCTAATTAGTGGCCCCTAGGAGCTATACGGTGGCACCCAGAAGCTATACAGGGAACCCCAGTGGCCCCAAGAAGCTATACGATGGCCCCCAGAACCTATACAGCAGCCCCCAGAAGCTACACGATGGCCCCCAGAATCTATATGATGGCCCCCAATGGCTCCCAAAAGCTATACAGGGCCCCCCAGTAGCCCCTAGAAGCTATACGGTGGCCCCCAAAGCTATATGGTGGCCCATTTGGGAACACTGTATAGCTT